CAAAAGAAGACGCTGCAGGAGCTGTACCAGCTGGGTCCACAGCTGGGGAGTGGTGGCTTCGGCACCGTTTTCTCAGGCATCCGCCTCTCTGATGGGAGCCCTGTGAGTGGCCGTGATGGCCAGGCGTGCGAGGAGGGTGAGGGATGGGGAGGGGCAGGACTTGAGCTAAGCCTCTCTCTCTCTCTCCATGGCTTGCAGGTGGCTATTAAACGCGTGGCTCGGGACAGCGTCCTGCAGTGGGACGAGCTGGTGTGTGAGCGGGGCCAGCAGGACAGAGCAGGGCACGGCTGGCAGGGATAAGCCTGGGGTCCCGGGAGTGGGAGGTGGTAGATGGCTGGGGGAGCGGGCATGGGCTCAGCGTGCAAGCCGGGGCACTGTGGGCCCAGAGATGCCAAACATCGACAGTAGGGCTGGGCAGGGGGCACCTCCAAGCAACTCCTGGGCAGGAGGAATGCCAAGCAGCAGGGAGTCTGCCCAAGAGGGCACTGGGGCATCCCAGGCAGGAGGCAGCACAGCCACAGGGCAGCATCCGGCTTGCTGGAGGCATTGTCTCTTCCTCACAGCCCGACGGCACCCGTGTTCCTGTGGAGATTGTGCTGATGGAGAAGGTGGGCTCTGGCTGCCACAACATCATCCAGCTCCTTGACTGGTTTGAGCTGCCTGACAGCTTCCTGCTGGTGATGGAGCGTCCGGAGCCATCGCAGGATCTCCTGCACTTCCTGCTGGAGCAGGGGTTCCTGTGTGAGGAGTTGGCACGCTGGCTTTTCTGTCAGGTGCTGGAGGCCGTGCGGCACTGCACTGCCTGCGGCGTCTTGCACCGAGACATCAAGCCAGAGAACCTCCTCTTGGACCTGGACAGCGGCAACCTGAAGCTCATTGACTTCGGTTGCGGCACCTTTCTCCAGGAGCAGGTCTTCACGCAATTTGCCGGTGAGCCCACAGCCCGGGCCCTGCTGCCAGTGCCAGGCACTGCACGGCCCCATTCCCTCCTCGGCTGCAGGCTGCATCCTTCAGCTGGCTGCTGGCTGCCCTTTGACAGCAGATGCTGTGCCCCAGGAGCTGGCTGCTGGCCCTGCCGACAAGGGGAGATGCAAAAGCCGGGTCCTGGCCCCTCAGCTTAGCAGGCCCACAAGGGCTTGGGCTGCTCTGCTGCCCTTCTTTGCCTTGCAGAATGGTTTCTTGGCTTTGGCCAGTTGCCTGGGGGATGTGGGGTGGCCTCGGGGAGAAGTTGTGTCCACTGCTGCAGCTCCTGCCTCTGCCAGGAGGCGGGCAGCGGGCGCTGAAAGCCAGCAGCCTGCGTCTGGACAGCGCCACCCATCTCCCCTAGGAACACGCACGTACAGCCCACCCGAGTGGATCTGCCTTGGCGTCTACCATGGCCATTCAGCGACCATCTGGTCCCTGGGCGTGCTGCTGTATGTCATGGTGTGTGGCAACCTCCCCTTCCGGGAGGACCAGGACATCAGGTTGGGGCAGCCCTTCTTCAGGCAGCAGATCTCTCCAGGTTGGTATCTGGCCTCAAGAAGGCAGACTTTTGCAGATGGCAGCATGCAGCCCAGCATGGCCCTCACACAGCTGCACAGGACATGGATCTGCCCTCAAGAGCTGGCTGCAGGAGGTGGCCCGTGCAACTGAAGGAGGTGCACGTGTCCCACCGTGCCACTCTCCCACACAGGGCAGAGTCCCTTGGGAGGCTGGCACAGCTCTGAGCACACGCAGCGCGGCCCGGGCCCTGTGGGCGCCGTCAGCAGCTGAACAGGAGCCTTCTGAAAATGACCAGCACTTTCTGGCTTCTCTCCCCAGAGTGCCAACATCTGATCCGCTGGTGCTTGTCCAAGCACCCTGCGGACAGGCCAGAGCTGGAGGAGATCTTGCGCCACCCTTGGGTGCGGGGCCGGCGTTTCTAATGCCTTGCTGGAGCCTCTGCAGCACCCACTTCCTGAATCCCATGCGGGACTGAGGACCCAAAAAATAAAACCATAAACCATAAGCATATTCTAGGCTGTCAAGTCTGGTTCTTGTTAGCAACTCCAGCTAAAGAGACCTCTTGGGAAAAGGGGTAATCAAAGGCACTCCCTTCAGCCTCTGTCAAGCTTTTGATGCCTTTCCTCCAGGATGGTACTTTGGCGTCTTCAAGCACAGGCTGTAGTACAGCTAGGAGGGTGTTTAACAAGCCAAGAACTGCAACAGTGAAACAACAGCTGCCCTTTCAAACTCTCCAGCTTCTTGGTGTCTCCTGAAATGAAACTAGGGCTGTGTGTGCATTCCAAGGGCCAGCGGGTGGCAGGAGCCGAGCTGTTCTTCTGCTACCAAAGCTGTGCTTCTGGAAGCACCAAAACTTCCTTTCAGATTGAGCCCTGATGAACTCTTCCTCTTTCTTCCCCTGAAATGGGAGGCAGGGCTGGGCCTTTGACCAGCTGGCTCCACAGCTACGCAAGTCATGCATATGGAGCTCAAGGGAAATGTTGAGATGCTGGACTCACTTCCATGGTGCTGGGTTCCTTGCACTTCCCCAGAATATCTTCCTCTGCCTTAGAAACAACTCTTGGAGATGGAAAGTGCAGTAACTATTGTAGTCACAGGAAAGCAGCCAGTTGCCTTACCTGGCCCTGTGAGCAGGTGCCATCTACTAAACCTCTGCCACCTTCTGTCTACTGCACTCACCTACCAAAACAGGTGTCAGGTAAATTAATCCACAAACACCAGAGGTTTATGTCCAAAAAGGAGACAGAGGAGTCCTTTTTCCTTTATTCGAATAAAGGGAGAGGCCATGGGGCATTCCCCTGGGATCTCTCAAATTTTTGGAGGGCGCAGCCTCCTTTTTATCTTCATTCCTGGCCACTTGTCCCTTCTCTTTCCCCATAGGCTGAGGTACTTGAGAGGTACAGACTTCCCTGAACGCCTGATACCTGCGATACCTTCCCCCCGCCCAGTACATAATCCCTTCTTAATTCTTAACTTTGATGGAATTCATAGTGTTCTTTCAGTACCTCTTTGATCTTTCAGTGGAATCCATCCCATTGTTTCTGTTGTCTCACACTGATAGCTGCATCTTAGCAGCAGACCCACAGCTTGTTTGTAAAGACAAACCCATCATTCCTCTCAATCCCTCCTTTTTTCATTTTTGTTAAGAATTGTCTTTACAGACTTTACTTATTGTTGACCCAGTTTCTTGTTCTTGGGTCCTTTTTGGCTTTGCAATTATTTGCAGTGGCATCACTCTCTGCCCTTTTGTAGCTATCTCTGGCTCACTAGGCACGGCTACTACCTGCATTTCATGTTGAATGAGTTGTATTAAGCAAGGGATCATGCATGGTCAAAAGATTAGAGTTGCTGCAACACATAAGAGGAAAAAAAGCATTTCTTTGACCCATAGGCCACCAGGTAACCATGAAAACATGTCCCATTCCCATCCTTTCCATGTTTGGACCGCTACATGTGCTAACTTTCTTATTCTTTTTGTTATTTGCTTTACCACTTTTCCATTGTCATCTATTTGCAAACAGCAGTTTGAGTCCTTACATTTTCCACACACTTCCCCTTCTTCTGCTAATAAATAGTCTAATACTATCCGATGTTGAGATACTGCATTTCTTATCTGAGTAGACTGGTCAGCAAGAAGGTCAAGAGCTGTAGCTGTCTGGTTGATTATTATTTCAAAGACAGCTTGCAACCTAATTATCCGATTTCAATTATAAATGGGTTCTCTGGCACCGGATATTAATTCATTTGCATTTCCATTGCAAGCAGGTATGCCATCTCCCACAGTGATACCTGGGACCTCTTGGGACATTCTGATAGTAGATCTGAAAGATTGTTTCTTTACTATTCCACAGCACTCCAGATACCCCTGAGTTTGCTTTTACAGTGCCTTCCATTAATAACACAGCAACAGTGCAACATTATCAATGGAAAGTCCTAGCCCAGGTGATGAAAAACAGTCCTACGGTTTGCCAGTGGTACGTTGCCCAGGCATTCTCATCAGTGAGCAAACAATTTCCAGGAGCATACTGTTACCATTACGTGGATGGCATTTTAATTGCAGCCCTAACCAAAAAAGAGCTCTCAGAGATTCAGCCAAGCTTTCTGCAAGCATTCAAAACATTTGGGCTGCAGGTAGCACCAGAGAAGGCTGCAGAAGGCGGCACGTTGGAATTATTCAGGACTCCAAATAGTGAACCAGACTATACAACCACAAACAATTCAGCTTTCAACCAAAATTCAGACACTAAATGATGCACAAAAACCCATCCGCTGGGTCAGACCTTATTTAGGACTGAGAAATTCACAATTAGCACCTGTATTTGACCTACTACAAGGTGATCCGGAATTAACTTCCCCTAGAAAATTAACCCCAGAGGCAAAGGCTATTCTCAAAACAGTGGAGCAAGCTATCTCAAACCAACAAGTCCACTGGATATGCCCAGACTGCCCTGCACCCTACTGCTATTATAGAATAGAATATATAGAATATATATTCTATACTATACTACTATAGAATGGAATATATATTCTACTATAGTAGAACACTCACTGGCCTGATCCTTTGCACATCCTAGAGTGGATGTTTTTACCTCATCAACCAGAAAAGACAGCACCCAGGGTATTGGAGCTAATAGCACAATTAATCATCAAATGTCATCACAGGTGTTTACAGTTGAACACAAGAGATCCTTCACCGATTATACCTATGACACAAGAACATTTTGAATGGTGTTTTACCAACAGTACAGCCTTGCAAAGTGCCCTGAAAAATTTCACAGGACAAACCACTTATCATTTACCAAGCCATAGATTGTTAAAGTGAAGTGGAGAAACCACATTATCTCTTCAAGCTCTGAACAGCAGAACACCCTTAAAGGGTGTTACAGTGTTTACAGATGGCTCTGGGAAAACAGGAAAAGCCATAGTAACATGGAAAGAGGAGGGTGAGTGGCAAATGTTGGAAAGTTATCAGAACAGGTCTCCCCAGTTGGTAGAATTACATGCTGTAGCTAGGGCTTTCCAGCGTTTTCCCCATATCCCTCTAAATATAGTAACTGATTCTGCATATCAAGCTGACATCACATAGAGATGAGACCAAGCACTGTTTAAGGAAACTGATAATGTGCCGCGGCGGGGGGCGGCGGAGGTGGCAGGGGTGCCGTGACGAGCTGGAAGAAGCGGTCTGCGGTTGGACTGCCCGGGGACACAGGCACATCCTCTGCCTGGTGACTGATTTCAGCTCAGCTCAGCTCAGCAGCAGCGCGCAGGCGACGCGGAGAAAGAGACTAGAGCGCTGTGTGGCGTTCCAGAGAGAACTAGCCTTTCACAGTTTAACATAACTAACTCCAAGATTTCTGGGAGTGACACTTTTCTCTCTCTGAGATCAAGTGCCTTGCCTCCAAGGGAGAGCCAGGATCTCTGGATCAGCTGGTTGCCCGGCCCCCACAACTCCCCCTTCTTTACTTATTAGAAGGGCATCTCCCAGAGATTTGGCTAATAAGTTCTTAAAACATGAAAACATACATAGGAAAATAACATTAATTAGGAAAACCTAAAAAATGCTTTTGAGGAGGAAGGCAACCCATCCTTTGAGTCCCCAGCTCCCAAAAAGGTCCTCAAACCACTGGGGCTCCTTTTCAGTCTTGAGTTCCTGGACCGCATGTTGGGGTCTCTGGATGCGGGCATGGATGCCTTCACTGGGGCTGGAGAGGTTGAAGTAGCACAGTCTGTCAGACTCCTCACAGCCGTGTCCATGGGCCAGGAGCAAAAAGTCTATGGCAGCTCGGTTTTGTAGCATGGTGTGCCCAACAGTCTCTTCATCTGTCAAGAGGTCACTCAGGACAGAGGAGGTCAGGTTGGCCTGCTTACCAAGCCAACACTGCAGGTAAGAAAGCTCACCAAGGGCTTTAGCAGCAGCTACCCACAGCAAAAATGCCGACATCACCACCCTCTTTGTGTGTGACCGATCTTCAATTTGGCTATCGCAATTTTCATCTAATTGAGTGAGATCTCTCTTTTGGCAGGCCAATTCATTCTTTTTCTGCCAATCATGCATTAGAGTTGAGTTTGGAGTGAGGATGGTAAGCTGTCCAAGCGTGCAAGGACCTCCCCGGAGTCGGGAAGGGATTCCTGCCCACACTCTATCCCCACAGATTAAGAACACTCCCCGGGGCAGCACTCTGGGACAGTGAGAGGAGGCAGATTGTGTGCTGCTGGTGTAATTGCACCATTTGAACTGATTGTCAATTTTACTGTTGGGAGTCACATTTTTCTTTGATTTAATTGCCCTGTGGTATTTTGAGGCAGGCCATGCATTGCTTAATGGGTGATAATCAAAACTGACGCAATAGGTAGCCTTGGAGGAGCCCAAAAGCTCCAATTCTTGGGGTTCCTCTGGTGCATGGGGTAAGATCTTTGTCCACTCGTCCCAAATGTCTACCGGCTTGGGTTCTTTCCCTATGAGAGGGTATTCATGGGTCTTCAAAGGAATCCCTACCAGGCAGGATGACAGAGGGTTGGTGGCGCTGCCCATGGACAAGCACATGTGTTCTTGTTTGAGAGTCTTTGAGAGGGTGATCCACATGTTCTCCTGGGGCTGTGCTACTAGCCAGGCATGCACAGCTGATGTTTTCAGGAGCATCCAGATGGTCAGGAACATCAGGAACCCAAGGATGGTTTTGCTCTCCATTTTCTATAACAAAATATAAAAAGATTAGCTCTGACTTTTGGGGATGGGGGGACTATTTTCTTCTTCCCCTTCCTCTCCTGTCTCCCCCCTCTTTCTAAAAGAAAATAACTATAAGCAGGGAACGGGTACTGGGGATGAGGTCGTTGGTTGCTGGTGGGGCTATTTTGTGCATAGGGGACACATGAGCAGACACCAGCAGCAGCATTGAGGTGCATTTTGGTGTAAACTGGCAATTTGGCTTAGGTAATGAGAGTAAGAAGGGGAAGGGAGAGAGGGAAAAGGGAGGGGGAGGGAGTTAAAAAAACTTGTGCAATG